GGAGATAGCCTTGAAAACAAAGTAGATACCAATGGCCAGGGTGGTAGACCACCAGATCAGCGGGTTTCCAAGCAGGTAGATTTGGCGGTTGTCCTTGCCCCAGAAGTTGATACCGCGGAGGAGAGTGGGCCAAGAGGGAGGGCGAGAGTCCCAAGCGTGCGATTCAACCAAGCCAGCGTTGGTGGTCCACATAACCTTCTGCAGCTCCCAGAACTTGCCGAGGAATCCAGGATTACGGTAGTTGACTCTTTCGGCATCTGCAGGCATGGCGGGATGCTGGTTGTCCTCGACATACCAGACACTGTTGGGAAGGGTACCACCACGGGCACAGGTCACTTCCTGCTGCTCCCATCCCCAGTCCGGAAGCTTGACCTTATGGGAGAACAGAACACAGCCGGTCATGACGTGCACCAGCTTGAACTTGGTTTGGATAGTTCGCAGACGCTTCTTGGATTCCTCGGTCTCGGACATGGATGGAACAATCTCAACCTTGAACAAATCATTGGCATCACCAGGGAAACCTTCGTATCCATAGGCAGACACCTCGTACTGCCAGTCAGCCTCAGTCACAGGAGGGCGCTCATCGTGCGAGTGAATTCTGCGGTGAGTAATCGAATGGTAAAGTCTGATGACTGATCCGTCCTCGATGAATCCAGGAGCAGTCAAGTTGTCCCAGGCGAAGGGACCCTCAACCTCTCCATAGGGGCCAAGAGGCTGAGTCTGGTTCTCCAAAAGGAACAAGTTGTTCTCATCCTTGTGAGGGTAGAGAGTGACTTGCTGTTGCTTGCTGCCAGTGGGGTACATGTGAGGGTGTGAGTGCAGGTAGCCACCCTGGGTATTCAGGTGACGAATGCTGACTCGGGAGCCAAAGGAAACATCCGCGGGAACATCCTGCATAGACTTGGAGTTCAAAGTTGCCTGGAACTCCGAGGACATGAATCCGTCACCTTCTCCAGGGTTGACCAAGCACATGAAATGAATAGCGAACATGGCAAGGTAAAACCCAAGAGGGATGACAATGAGACAGAAGACTCGGGAGAAGAAATGCTTGAACCAGAGGCGCTGCATCAAAAGTTAGCTCTGAACATCAACTGATTTCCGTTCAGAAATACATACCGGTGTGACAGTCTTGGAATCGCCCAGCAGCACCCACAACTGGAGAGCCGTAAGGGACCCAACCCACGCCATAGTGAACAGACCAACCCACTTGACGCTAAGGGTAGCGCCGAGAGAGAGACCAGTAAACACCAGCCAGAACCACCACGGTCCGCCAAAGGCATAGGAGGGTCCCAGCTCCTGCTGGTTGGTAAAGCAACTGAATGACAGAGTGGTCAGAGCAGTAAAAAAGATCAACGGAGAATCGAGAAGAATAAGACGAGATTGAGTAACCAAGGCGTTGTCTGCAAAGTCATTAGATATAGGTCCAGCATGAACCAATAAATCCATAGATCAAGCATACCAAAGATTACAACACCGGCACCCATGACGGCAGTCGAAGTCCGGCATCCAGTGACCCTAAGAGTGAGGAACATTAAAGGAACAGTCAGAACACCCAGGATAGCTGGGAGCATGCGCATTGCCACATATGGAACACCGGGCTCCAGGTAATCCTTGCCAATATCCTTGAAGTCGAAGTTTCCGTCAAAACCGGCCAGCCAGCCAGCAAGGGTAATCAGCAGTTTAGCCAGCGGAGGGTGAACATCCATGAAGAATTTCCCCTTGATATATTTGGACGCAAAGCCACCGAAGCTGTTCAGAAGCACAACGTTTTAGCACCCCACTTTCTTTTCAGTTGATACACGTATTTGGCGAGGAACATACTGGACTTCATCGAAGACAACGCTGGTGGGCTGGTAGATTCTGAACAGACGAACAGCTGCCGCAATCAGAGTGACCAGCACAACCAGCTTGTAGTCCGAGCCGGGAAGCTTGAAGATATCATTGTTCTTCACGCCATCTGAGGCATAGCTCTTGGGTGCCGCGGCCGCCATAGGCTTGCGGTTCTTGGGCTTTGGCGAGCGACTAGGCGAGCGGCCACCGCGGCTCTGAGGCCGCACTGCCAATGTGTCTTTTGATTTCTGCCCCATTTTGTTCCAATTGTCTGATGCGGATGCGAGACGACGTCAGCGGTTCAGGAGATCGGCACGAGGGGCGGAATTTCGAAGGAGGAAGATATGAGATAGGTCGTAGTTGAACTGTGATATAATCACTAAAGAGAGGCTTGTAGATAATGGATAAGTGGACGTCGAGAGCAACTTTTAGCCTCGAGCTCCAAGCAAGCACCGCACCGATTAATGATCGTGTAACGACGAGAAAGAAGGCCCCATGACAGGGAAGAAATAAGAAAAAAGAAAAAGGGCTGAGGAGGGAGAGTAAGAAGAAAATAGGAAACAGTCAAGAGGCGAGAACAGCGATGGACGAAAGCGTTCAGTTCCGCCTTAAGGCCAGATCGACCGCGGCTGTGGACGACTGACCCCCTTAACTTTTTAGCCCCAGTACTGTTACGTTGATTTTACTAGCGAGATTTGGGGTAAAAGTGCATATTGTGACTACGACTTTGCAATTAATTGAGCCCACAAACATCCTCGAGTCCATGAAATACAAGTAAACAGTTCCATTCCGGACGTGGAGTAGACAAAGGAGAGAAACATGGCCGCGCACGGGTACTGCCATGGTTCACCGCCACAGCCTGGAGTAGTCAGCAACGTCTATCTATCAATCCTGGAAAAGACTGGCACCTCTTCATATCCTCATCACCCGCCATGGAGTCGAATGGAAATACCCCTATGATGGAGGAGACAAGCAAGCCGCCAGAGGGCTTAGTGCTCCCCCCAAGGATATTAGAGGTGAGTTACAGGACTGCTCCCTCAGAACCAGGTGGCTAACATCGCGATCTAGCAATTGTCGAGAAGACCGCAGGCTACACTGCTCGCAACGGCGCTGTCTTCGAAGGTACGTCGCCCCCACGAACCCACACATAGCGCGACGGGAGCTGACTTCTGGGTCTCTAGACCGTGTTCGCGAGAAGGAAAAGGCTAACTCGAAATTCTCCTTCCTGCACGCCGGTGATGCCTACGCGCCCTACTATCAATGGCGCCTTGCGGAAATCAAAGAAGGCCGCGGAACTTCAGTATCAGCAGGACGCACTGGAGAGACTGGAGCTGTCGCAGAACCCGAAACGCCCAAAGGGCCACCTGAACCCGCCGCTTTCCACTTCTCGGCGCGCATGCCCAACATCAGCGCACAGGATCTGGAGGTAGTCAAGCACACAGCTTTGTTTGTCGCAAAGCGTGGGAAATCCTTCATGACCGCACTGTCCCAGCGCGAGGCCAGAAACTTCCAGTTCGACTTCCTACGACCCCAGCACAGTCTCTACCAATTCTTCACGCGATTGGTCGACCAGTACACTATCTTGCTCCGCGCGGAGGGTATCGACGAAGCTACCTCATCTGTGAAAAGAATTGCTGAGCTGGAACAAAATGTGCAGAACAAATTCCGCGTCATGGAGCGCGCCAAGCAGCGCGCCGAGTGGGTGAAGTACCAAAAGCAACAGAAGCAAGAGAAGGAAGACCAAAAAGAGCAGGAGCAGATTGAGTACGCCCAGATTGATTGGCACGATTTCGTGGTGGTAGAAACCGTCGAGTTCACCGAGGCCGACAACAACGCTGGACTCCCACCGCCGACCTCCCTCAACGACCTCCAATCCGCCTCCCTCGAGCAAAAAGCAGCCCTCTCCCTCAACACACGACGCATCGAGGAAGCAATGCCCACAGACCTTGACAACCCAATATACTACAACGCCTACCCAGCCCAGCCCGAACCAGTCATCGCCCCCCAACCCTCCACATCGCCCTACCCAGCCGGCCCTTACCCCCCACCAAACCAGTACACAAACCCGGAAGAGGAGCAACGCATCCGCGAGCGCATGCAAGCACGCGACCAAGCCGCGGCCGCCCAAGCAGCAGCCACAGCAATCCCAGGCCAGCAACCAATGCGCATCCGCTCAGACTACGTACCGCGCGCCCAGGCCCGCCGCCAACAAGCCGGTGTCATGGCCATCTGCCCATACTGTAACCAGAAGGTCCCCTCGGCCGAGCTGGACGACCACATCCGTATCGAGCTCCTCGATCCACGCTGGAAGGAACAGCGCGCCAAGGCCGACTCCCGCAGCGCAACAACTAACCTCTCCACCGTCGACGTCGTCAACAACCTCAAGCGTTTGGCCAGCCAACGAAGCGACGTCTTCGATCCATCGCCCGCCGACCCAGAGGAGGAGGCTCGCCGTAAGCGCATGGCTATGGATGGCTCGGCTGGTCAGCAGGGTCCGACTGTTGGACCGGCTGGTGTGCCTAACCCCAATAATCCTCAGAATATGAATATCGAGGATCAGTTAAGACACATTCATCAACTTGCCAAGAAATGATATATCCCCACATCCTAGACTTGGATGGGGTGTTCCAAAGATTTTTGATCTTGAGTTAGGGTTTTAGGGGTTTTTTGCTTTTCAACTTCACGTATCCTGTTGCTACAATTCGGAGTTTGGGAGGGATGATTCGGATGATGTGTTTTGTTTTCTTTGTACCATAGACCCCTCTGACTCTACATAAATCTACGAAACGTCTCGTCTAATCTGTGCTTTAGTTCATACGTATACCGGAGGTGATTCTGTACTCGAGGCATAGTCAAAAGTCAACATTTGGAAACAAAATTAGTAATATACTCTGTTTATTACCTTCTCTTGAAGTAGTTCCTTGCAACTGCCTAATCTAGATTGCTCACATCCCAACTCGAGGTAAAACCATCTCTGAATTCAATCTGACTCAATTCATCTATCATTGACCAAAAAGTCCCACCGGCAATAGCAGCCAGACATACCATCATTGCGGCGAGTCGAAAATTGAAAACAATTCAGAATAAAAAAGAAAACAGAACTAGAAAAATGAAGTCCATCAGTACCACAAGCACCTGGGTCCCATTGCCCGCAAAAAAAGGGAAAAAAAAAAAAAAAAAAAAAGGAAGAACAACACAGAATAAAACCAAAAGGCAAGCAAAACACATTATGTATACGTAATTGAAAGGAAAAGGGTAATAATAATACACGGTGATATGCTGAAAGCAGAGGCGAAAAAAGAAGACACCGAGGGAAGCAAGATGATGAGTGAAAATCGCCACCATCACCACATCGACGAAGCAAATAGCGCCTATAATTAGAGAAAAAGGTATAAGCAGCATTGCCAGAAACCAGAACCAGGTCTGTATCAATGATAGAAGGAGAATTAAGTGACTTGGGAAATGCAATGCCAAAAAGAAAAGGCAGGGAAAACATTAGGTGGGTGAATCATGAAATGCTGGGCAAGCGTGCAGTCGTCTCACTCGTGGTGAGTGCTCATAGAATCAATCAGGCAAGTCAAGAGGTACCGGTATGTTGTATGGGGGGCTCTACCTCTGCCTCTGCCTCCGCTTCCGTATCTTTAGAGCGAGCAGGTGTGGAAGGCTCGTTGGAGACATGTTCCTTAATGTCGATGGTCATGTCCGCATTGGCCTCTTCGTAAACGCTCAGGTCGGAGTCGGCAGAAATCCGCTTCAGCCCCTTTTCGCTCATGGACATATCGTCTCTATCATAGACGGAGCTTTGCGGTCGAGGGATATCAGATTGAGCTGTGTGGTTGTCGAGCGAAACTTCGGCTGCTTTTGGCTGGAGATAAGTGACGTCCACGGGCTCAAGGTATTGCTCATCATCGTCCTCGTTGGTGCCATTATTAAAGCCTGTAGGCTCAGTTTCGAGTTCAGACTCGTTTTGTCGCTTGAACAAAGGGATGATGCCGGCTCCAATGCGAGACCAGAACATCCTCTCTCTTAGGCGAATGGTTTCATCCCAGATTTCTTTTTCTTCTTCGGTATCACCAGCACGAAGGTGTCCGTCAAGAATAAGGCGCAAGTAACCAGTGAACTCGCAGCAGGAGCGCACTCGTTCCAAGCAAAGAAGACAGAGCGAATATCTTTGGGCGTTCTCACTGTCAGATGTGCGGAATCGATGGGTTCTCTCATTCTCTGTGCCGGTTCTGCGTTCACCACAGACGGAGCAGGGGAACTCAAACTTCTTTGAAGCCAAGGGCATTGGCTCCACAACAAGACTTCCCTCGCAGATGCCACTGAGTACAGTTCGTCGGGTCAACCACGAGATTCCTGGAGCCAAATCCAGCCGCAAGGTAGGCTCAATGTCCTCCATAAGGACCCGCTTGTAGAAGCGTGTTTCCTTCAAAGGAATATGAGATCCGGTTGTTGAGGACATGCTCCCATTGGGCGAATGGGCAAATCCTTTGGTAGGCGAAGAAGTTGCTGATGAAGCTCCCCCACTTGCGAAGCTTGCCAACCCCATTCCCATTACGTTCAACCCACCGTACGAGCCACTAGCAGCACGGCTGGGAGGCTTGGAGCTCCGAGAGAGGACCAACAGATCACGGAAATCCTCATAAGCGGGTAGATCAGTCCGGCATATCATGCGGAGCATTTGCGGGAAGTTGCAAGAAGGGCCCGGGGTGAATTCCTCGGCGTTGCAGATTGATGCAGGAACCGGTTCAAGTTCAGACTCTTGCTTTGCGGAACTTTGCACTTGCGGGGGCCCAGCAGGGGATGGTGGGGCCGTTGTAGTACGGGCATCGACGTCATCCTTGGAGATGTGCATCCCTTGCATAACGGACTTGAGCTCGGCGAGCTGGTCTTGGTGTGACGCCAGGAGCAACTCTGTGTCTTTGATTTGTGCACGCAATTGTTCGTTCTTCTTCTCCACGGCTTCGCGTTCAATCTTAGCCGCAGCTACCATCTAGAAACAATGTCAGAATTGAGTTAGAATATGCAGAGTAGCCAAGATATGACGAACCTTATTGGCTTCTTCGAAGAGAGCTGCAGTCAGAGTTTCCAGCTCCTGCTCAATGGTCTTCTTGCCCTTTTCAACAGCAGCACGCTGTGTCTGCTCTTCCGCAAGTTCATTTCGTAATTGTAGGATTTCGCGATCAGAGTCGGCCTTTTTGGTGTAGACTTTGGTATCGATGTCACGGCGGTATTTCTCATTCTGGAATTCGAGAGCTTGGATTTTGCCCTGTGCAAGCTCTAGCTCTTGTCGGGTAGCGACCAAGCTGTCGTCCAAATTTGTTTGATTGTTGATAGCCTGAATCAGTTTCACAGACAATGCTGCAACCTCATTGCTCAGGTCGGGGTGGTGAGACGATGACGTCGAATGTGAAACCTCCGCTCCGACAGCCAATCGCGGATCCTGCAAGGTGCTGAAGCTGCTATCGTCGAACCTGGAAGATCGTTTCGAACCTGAGGAGGCAGCGTCGGAGAGATTGGTGGTGGACTTGGCTTTGGTGACGGTTCTGTCGGGGGATAGGGAGCGGTGCTCGGAGGAGATGGACCTCTTATGGGCGTGGCGTGGAATCATATTGGATGTGGAGAAGAAACTATGATGAGAAGTTTGAAAGGCAATTAAACTGCCCCCTGAGCGTCAACAATTTACTCCAACCCCAAGAGACATCTTGATCTCGAAGACTTACTCGGCCATGGTGAGTGACGTAGACGGCGTTCAAGGAATGTGAAGCAGGCGAGATATGTGCCCACTGATCGCCAAATCAATATCACGCACACAAAATCTGTTGTAGATAGGTCACTGCTGAAGCCATTCACACCGGAGAGAGAATGTTTGAGATTGGTAAGTCTGCGCGTGCGTTCGGGGTGTCGTGTAGGTGATGGATCGGGAGCTTAAGTCCGGATCGGGAAGAGCAGAGATGGAGAGGCAAATGAACCGACAGAAAGGACAGCGTCGAAGTAAAGAAAGAGAATTGAATGGCCACACGCAGGTCCGATGGGTACTATCACCCCGATGATGGCGCTGGAAGAGTTGGGAGGTTGCAGCGCGAACGTCCACGAGGAGGCAACGCTTAGTCACCCTGAACTATTGAAAGGATCGGCTGCGCTACTCCAAGCGCAATACGTGAAGACTTTAATATGAATGAAATTGGTCGATGCGCTAGATTGAGGGGGAATTAGGCAGTCTAATAAGCTAAACCGGAGAAATCCTCCATTTCCGCCACCCGGGGACCGAGACCTCCGGGCGCTTGTGCCGTGATAGAGAGATACCTGAGAGCAGGGATGATTTCGAGCTAAACTCGAAGTTATCACCCGGGATCTCACGTTTGCGACTCGGCTATTTTCGATCAATCACGGCCGTATTTGCCCCTCGCATCCCCGTGAGGCGCAGCATTGGAGATATAGGGGATATGAGGCTCCACGTTTACTCCAGACTGTTTCATCCCTGTGCAAGATTGACGGCATGTTGACCTCAATTTGCAAGGGAGTTGACTTTTCCATTGACTATTGCCTAATTGTAAGTTATATTCGTGCATGTAGATGTATGATACAGTATCTGAGCCACGCGGTGGATAAGGAGTCCGATGCGAACGCGCAAGTAATTTCCACTCAATGAGCATATAACAACGTATCAGGCAATTAGATCATCTGTAATTCCCAAACATCCTATGCCTCTCAGCAGTATACTATACTCATACCTTACTTCATAGTTCAATGTTCCACGTGCAATTCCCCGCGTGGCGGCCTCAGGCGGAAGTGGGGTTCAATCAAATCTTCAATCTCGACCTTAACATCATCACTTGACTTATCATCATGGCGGACGCAGAGCTAGAAGAGGTACTGCCTTACCCCCCAGGATAGACACCCAACTATCCCCGACGGTGCTAACGCAGAAAGCAGATCAGACGAGCTCGCCTCGCGCAACTCCAACAGCAACAAGGAGCACGTGGCGGCCCCGCTGGTCAGGATGGTGGCGATCAGGCACAGCAGAGACAGTGAGTATTTGATGATAAATTGCGCGATGGGACAGACGTATACTAATTCCTGCAAATAGACAAGCTGAGGGTAGGTCTCACGACCCAAAGTCCTAATCCACGTGAAACCGCAGTGGATAAACCTCCAACACCGTGATTGTATCCCTGTATATCTGACGCAATCTTTCTACTCCAGCCGAACGCCGCGCCTCAATCATGACCCAGATCCTCGACCCCGCGGCCGCCGATCGCCTGGGCCGCATTCGCCTTGTTAAGGAATCGCGCGCGACAGACATCGAGAACCGTCTTATCATGCTCGCTCAGTCGGGTCAGCTACGACAGAAGGTGACAGAGGAGCAGCTCAAGGAGCTGTTGGGTGCTGTTGCGGAGAACCAGCGCAAAGAGGAGGAAGAGCAGAAGATTGTCATTTCTCGTCGCAAGGGCGGCTGGGATGACGACGATGATCTGCTGGACCTGTGAGGGTCAAACAAAAAAATGCTGTGATCTACAGACTTTTGAAATTATTGCATTCGGATACCTTTTTTGGGTTAACCGTCCTCTTGGGCCACTTGGGATATCCCCTATGGGCGTTATGGTCCCATGTTTTACACTACTTTGCAGCTGGGCGGAATTGAAGGCAATCCGCCTCGCATTTGCGAATTGGTAATATTCTTTACAACCCTTTAATCATACACACCTCTCTCTGTCGAGGGCTACATCTCGAACAAAACAAGAAACACCTCACCCCGAAGCCTGCAACTTTTCCTTCTCCCTCTTCTGCTGCTGCCGAATCATCTTCCGAATATCCCTTAAATCCGGCGGCCGCTCAATATTAAGCTCAGCCCTAAGCTCATCAACATCCTTCTCGAGTACTTCCTCCCAATAAACATTAATAAGCTCATTACTCCTCAACCCACTTCGAATAGCCCACGGCAAATGTAACGAAAGGAACCTCTCTTTCTCCGCCGGCTTCATACGCACAAAAGCAAAAAGACTCAAACCCGTCATAGGCAGAAGCGTATTCAAGAACTCCAGCGCTTTAAGCGCCAGCTCGCCCTCAACGAAGATCGGCAGTCCCGTCACGGCGTGGTAGAAGTCGTGGCACTCACGGTACCGCTGCATGACATAGGCGCATTCTTCATTGTCGATGTATTGTACGTTGTCGCGCGTGTCGGGGGATACACCTTCGCGGTCTAACCATGTAGCATAGGTGCGGCCAACGGAGTTCTCGGGGAGGGTGCGGAGGTGGGTCATTTGGAGGGTTTCGGAGGTTATGCGTGGCCGGTCGCGCAAGATGCGTCGTCCTGTTGGGCTTGAGAGCATGGCGTCGCGGAGTCGGTATATGAAGTATGGTGTTGCGGTTGCTTCGCCTAGGGCTGCGATGAGATCTATATTCGTTGTTAGACTCGGGATTGCTGGTCGTTTTTGGGCCACATTGATGGGTTCAAGTACCCGCTCTTCTGGGATTAATTAGGGATCCCAATGCTGAGCCCACAGCCAGAGCTCCGCGTTCAATTGTAGTCAATGGGACATGGCCAGGGTAATTCGGTGGTGGGCGGTTTAGAACGGAGAAGGGTCGTAGAGCACAGGATATAGTCGGCTTGGTAGTTAAAGATCGAAGCTCAATTGCTCCACGCCCCCCGAGGACTGACATTATGAGTACCGGAGTATGTGAACTTTGAGCATGTTCTCGGAAGCTGAATTGGAGGTCGTACGATTATCAGATCAGAAACAGCGTGGATGGTCGTTATGGGCTGCCGTAGGAGATAACATTATCGATAAACATCTCCACATCTACTCAATTTCACTCATTTGTACGGTCCGTATTGTATGCGCAGTATAGATCAGCCTGCTTTGAAGCTTCTTAGGATTCGAGAGACCGACCCGTAACAGGTATTTCAATCCAAAACCAGATTTATATCTGGAGCCTAATATCCATCTCTTGGCACAAGTTAATCACATGCAGTCACGTTGCCTCAAATTCTCCGAGAAGCACATCCATTCTCTCAAAATGAAGCCAGAGTGGTGGCCAGGCAAAGAGCACGAAGCTTTCACAGAATGGGCAGTCTCCAACGGCGTTGACACCAACAATGTCACCCCAGCTAGGTTTCCAGGTCGAGGCCTAGGAATGATGGCCACGCAAAAAATCAATGTATGAGTCCAAAGCTATGTCACTTTGTATGTACATGGACCTATACTTACAATTGGCCAATCCAGAAAGGAGATGCAGTTCTCCGGGTCCCAACAAAGCTAATGATAATTGCGGACTCTATCCCTACCACATTCACCAAACAGTTCCCAGAAGACATGGCCGTTCAAGCTCTTCTAGCAGCGTACCTCACGCACGGGGATGCAGAAGATCTGTCAACATGGGAATTATGGCGCAAGTCATGGCCCAGTCGTCAAGATTTCGCGGACAGCATGCCGATCCTATGGCCAACTGTTTTAGGAGGACCGAAATGGCCCCCAAGCAACGACAAGAACGAGGACGTTGTCGACTTAAACAAGCCAGGTTTCTTTCCCCCATCAGTCTCAGGTCGCTGGAATACCTTGAATCCCGGACCGAAGACGAGGAAGTACGAGCTAGATCATCAGAATATTCTTCCGAAGCAGGTTCAGCTCTTGAGTAAGGCATGGTTTGATGTTGTTGCTGTTTATCCAGAGACTGAGTGGGATGCATTCTCTTACCACTGGCTTATTGTGAATACGAGAAGCTTTTATTGGATTGGACTGGGGCAGGAGCCTCCTGAGGATCCTAATGATGCTATGGGGTTGGTGCCTTTCGCTGATTACTTTAATCATGCTGATGTTGCTGTATGGTTTTTTTTTCTCTTCTGGGAATGGGGGAGTGCTTTGTTTCTGGACTGACTCTACTCACAGCGAGATGTGAAATTTGATGAAAATGAATACGTCTTTTGCGCCACGAAGGACTATGAGGAAGGTGACGAGGTTTACATGAATTACGGAAGCCATCCGAATGATACTTTACTGGCAGAATGTGAAAAATTTATGGAATCACAACTCTCAGTTTAGCATACTAATACTCTTTACAGATGGATTCTTCCTCGATGTGAACGAGGCAGACTCAGTGTATCTCGACGATATCGTCTTCCGAGACCTTCATACACCCGAGCAACAAGAAGACCTGTGGTTAAACCAGTATTATGGGTAAGTCGATTTGTTTTTGGGTTGATATATTACAAAAGATGTCCAATTCCCATGCGCCATATCTACACCAGTTCACCATTAACACAACGCCAGCAACTACCAAGTCACACCGCATGGACCATGCTACCGCACCGAGGTAGCCGCATGTCTGAGTTATATGAAGGAGGAGGACTGGCGAAACCATGTACTCGAAGGTATGACCAAGGGACTTGATGAAGACAGGTCCGAGGTCACGCTCAAGAGGTGGATTTTGGCATATGCCACCGAGGCACAGGCAACTATCATTGCACTGCAGACAGCGATCGAAAACGATACCACGGTGCAGGCACATCGCCAAAAAGCGGAGACGTTGTTGAGGCGGTGGGAGCAGATTAGAAATCTCTGCGAGAATGCTTCCAAGACAGTCTCGACATAGAGGTCGTTCCTGACGAAAATAGATCACTATTCAATCTTCTGATCTGGTCTCGTGTGGGGCGATAATGGGAAGATTCAATTGAACGATTACAACAGTAGTGCAGATCATTGAGGTTCCTCGCCATCAAACATGATATCCTCATGACTGAAAGGCACCTCGGCGCGGTCTCTCTGCGCTAGGGCAGTCGCTTTGCCGGTGATGAGATGCTTTATCATGTAGTTGAGTGCGCACTTAATACCCAATTCTTCACCACGACGCACAATATAGCCATTAAAGTACTCGATCTCTGTCGTCCTGCGGTTGTTGATATCCTGCAGCATGGAGCTTTCATTTCGAGCCGTCATACGCGCGATACTCACGACGTAGCGACGCAGACGTTCTGCAGAGAAGCGATCTTCAATACCCGGGACGCCTTGCAGCTCAGGAAGAGCACAGATCACAGCCGAGATCTCGAATAGCAACAATCGCATGACGCGAGTGTAGCTGAACGAGTAAAGGAGCTCGCCGTTGTTACACTCGCCCAATGCTGTTATGGGGTTGATGCAGCAATTGACTGCCAACTTCTCGAGTTGATATTGGATCAGACCTGCCGGTGTTTCAGCCGTGGCAACCAAAGCCGGGGTCAAAGTCAAGAGCTGCATCAGATATTTTGTTGTTGGCGCCCATGATTTCTCGGCGTCAGGTCCAGTGAGATGTGCAACACGATGCCCAACGGGACTGAGAATTGTAGTTCCGACTCCCATGTGGGCTATGCTGAATTGTTCTTTCCGGGTCAAGCCATGACTGAAGACACCCTGGATGTAATTGGGTCGTGTTTCGGGATTCGGGAAAACCTTCTGGTTGAGGATATCAATCACGCCCATACCATTGTGGATAAAGCAAACAGTCGATTCAGGCGTCAAACGGTGAGCTATTTCTTCCATAGCAAGCACTGTGTGGTGGGCCTTGGTGCATACAATCAGGTTCTCAATGGGACCAGAGGCTTCCGGGTTGAAGAATGGTGACTCTGTCCCGCCCGGACCCCGGTCGTGCTTGGAAGGCGCTGGGTACCAAGTTCCATTAGGGTCCACTACTTCAACGTCGAATCCCTTCTGTATATTGTCCATGCCATGGATGCTCACGGCAATACTTTCCTTGCGTTGACGGTAGGCATTGTAGAGGAGTTTGTTGTGCATACACAAGGTGATGGGCGGTGGGGAGCTTCGAGCAGCCAGAGAGTGAGCGATGAATGATCCGACATTTCCAATGCCGAGGATATGGACTCGTCCGGATAACGGGGGTCCATTTGAGCCCCGATTTGCTTCTTCCGCGTCTTGTGCCCATGTCGAGGCGAATCGTGCCTTTGGTTCTCCGTAGACATGGAGCCGAGATCCAAAACATGTTTCAAGAGTACTAGCTCGCCATAGCGAGCGGCATCGAAGGATGTGTTGCATCTCAAATCAGTTGGGGGAAATCTCCCCAAGAACTGTGGTTGGAGCTCAAATGTTCGGAGGTCGAGACGAGAATTCGGCTGGAGGTAGTAACTGAGCCCCAAGGCACTATCAGAAAGGTGAAATAGACACGGAACTGGACAACCAATTGTCTGTTTAAAAAGTAATTTAATATCCACTACATTCGGCGATCTCAGATGCGCAAGTGGTCCTGAAATTCTCACCGCCCGTTCTACCGCCTACGTTGAGCCCGACCTATTTTTTTTCTGGTATCAAGTAATTTCCCATCAACACCACACTCTCCAGAGCTACCACCATGGACCCAACGAACCTGCTACCGCTGCTTGAGCAGCTGGACGACAATGTTGATGACTTAGAAGAGATCCTGCAACCCCTTTTGGCCAGTTCCTTGGCCAAAAGCTCAAACAAATTGCCCGTCATGGACAAGGCCAAACTTCACGTGTTGATCACCTACACGCTTGAGTCACTAATATTCTGTATGCCAAACTCATTTGCTTTTAGGATTTCTGATACTAATGACTCGATCAGCTTATCTACGACTTCACGGAGTTGATGCCAAGCAGCATCCTGTGTTCCGGGAATTGACTCGTGTCAGGCAATACTTTGCAAAGATCAAGGACTTGGAGACCGAGCCCGAACAGCGCTCTATGACACTCGACAAGGAAGCCGCTGGCAGATTCATTAAGCACGGTCTGGTGAGTACCAATCTGGTTCATATGACTATGATAGTTGCTAACACATTACAGTCTGGTAATGATAAGTACGACTTGGAACGGGCAGAAAAGCAAGCCAAGGAGAGAGCCCAGGCCGAATTTAAGGCTGCTCAACTTGCCCGGAAGAACGCCGCAGCTGCGTCACAATCCAATGACCAAGTTGACAAAGATGAATCCGAGGAAAAGACAGACGAAGCAGCAGCAAAATCCCAAAAGAAGATCCACAAGAAAAAGAAGGAAGACAAACTAATAAGCAAGGGCAAGATAGAACGCAAGAGCAGCAAGGCAGACCGATCTGAAGAGAAGAAGGAACGCAGACAGAAGAAGGAGGAGTTCCGGAAAGCTCGAAAGGCCCAATGAGTGTTTTCAGATCATCATGAATGGTCCATGTACTATGAGACGCGCGCATGTCTCCATGATTCTAGATACCCTTCCACAATGGAAACTGCATTATGCTTTAACATTATCCATGTAATGTCTTTTTGCAGAGACCTGCTCATTCTCGGTCTCAACTATATCTCGTTCATTCCACAATAGCATGACGTATAGAGAAGTAGAGAAGTGAATTGCATCTCGGAAAGACCTCGGGATCTCCGTATACTCCGATAGCCGCAGGGATATCCCCCATGTCCGATTCCACGTGATACTTCACAGTTCTTACCTAATCACATCCACCAATTAGCATCCACAGAATTTGCATCGGAGTTTGCCTCACTCGCCGAACTTACTCATCTTCTAGCTTGTTCTTTCTCCACCAAACTTATACTTATATCAATTCAGATCTCTACCTATCCCAACAATCCACACACATCTATCAAAATGCCTCGTCAACGCCGCGGTGCCGCCCCTACCCCTGCGCGTAGCGCTCCCTCTCGCCCTACTGCTGCTCCTGCTCGCCCGGCCGCTCCCGCCCAGCAGCAGTCGCAGCCTCACTCGACCGCCGCCCACCCCCCTCAGGCCCAGCAGGCTCCTCCCATGCAGCAGCAGAGTGCCGGCCCCGGTCTCTTCGGCCAGATGGCCTCCACCGCTGCGTAAGTACCAGTCCCAGCTTTGAGGCCTTTGTTCAATCTAGTCCCGAGAAAATCCGGGGTTAGACTCAATGATTTTCGGCAAATTGCTAACATGCATTTTCTGTCATAGCGGTGTTGCTGTCGGTTCCTCCATCGGCCACGCCATCGGTGGCTTCTTCGGCGGCGGTTCCAGCGCCCCCGCTGAGGCCCAGCAGGCTCCCCCGCTCAGTCCCAGGCCATGGACAGCGGTCTCTACCAGAGCAACGCCAGCCAGACTTCATACGAGAACCCCGCCTGTGAAGTTGACGTCCGTAACTTCCGCAACTGCATGGATGAGAACCAGGGCAACCTCGGCATCTGCGGTTGGTACCTTGACCAACTGGTATGTTTACACTTTGCCTCGGCTTTCTCCTTTTTTTATTGTTTCGTATGCTAACTCCATGCAGAAAGCCTGCCAGGCTGCCGCCAAGCCTTACTAAGGGTTTTAGATCTCTCTTGGTGTGCTTGATTGGAAAGACAGATACAGTTCTATCTAGTAATATGTGATGGGAATATTCGGACTTGATCGTTCGTAGACCACCTATCTTTTGCATAGCGATCTTCACATCGCCTCTTTGTACTCTATACCATCTCTCCTCGATAAGGAAATAAACATTTGATTGTAACCTTCACAATCAAAATTGAATGCATGACACCAAAACAACACTTTTCTTTTCTCTTTCCTTAACAGTAGAATCCTAACACCGTTTGATGGAGCCTATGCTATACCAGGTATTATTGTATAAGATCCCAACAGCATGGACAAGCTTGTGTATTAAAGCTGCTCACTTTACAGTTCAAAGCTAACCCCCAAGTATGTAAATGTCATACATAGTACAGTGCGCTACAGCTAACCAATCCATCAACGCCATAGAAAATCATCAATACAAAAATTTTTGAGAAAACAGAATATGTGCCTGATTCTCATTTATCCTTCCCATCTTGGTTATTCCGCGGCTCGAAGTTCAACTGAAGAGAATGTTAGCAAATCTATACCAAAACGATTGCGTTAGACATCACAAACCTGGTTCCCATTATAGAGCTGGCTATCACCACGCTCATTCTGCTGGTCTCGCAAAGTCCGAATGTTAGGCCCCGGATTCCTGGTACGCGAATTGCTACCAGGAGCCGGAGAGGAGGATGTAGAGGGGCCTGCGTCGTTGGCTGGTGCGGATGAGCCATATCCAAGGAACGAGCCTACAAGTCCCGTTGCAGTGCTTGCAGCAGAGGAGGCAAGATTGTAAACGGCGGAGATGCCACGGACTGGTAAACTACCAGCTGCCGAATAGGCCTCCGTGTATGTGGACACTGGGACCATGACTAGATTTGCCGTAGAACCAATACCTAAGTTCTGAAGAGTCTGCGACTCCTGTGTGACGGAGAGCGTTTCGCTGGGGAGGGGGTTTAGGATGTGCTTGAGGTTGTAGGGTCGGTTGTCTCCTTCCATCTGTTGGTCAAGCCAGGGTCGCACATCGTTTCGAATGCTCTGAGTGGGTTTGAAGCTAGACCGCACGGAGCTCCCGTCAAAAAGGCGTACTTGTAGCCGGTATTGCGCTGGGGGTCCACGAGGAATTGCGGGTTTCAGTTCTGAGGGCTCGCTGGGAGCTGCGCTCTTCTCGGCACCATTGTCGGTAGGCCTTTGGGATGCCGGCGCTTTGCCTTTATCTTTCTTATACTGGGGTTTGACTTGTTCCTTGATATCTTTTGCCGGCTGGCTGCTCTGGGAAGCAGAACTTGCGGGTGATGCATCTTTCTTAAGAAGCATTGTGGTCATCATTCGCTTCTTTATGGCAGCTTCACTGCCCTGTTTAGGTGCAGACCGTGCAGGACTATCACTAGGTGGCACTTGAGCCTGGGGCCGAGGAGTCGCTGGCGTAGGTGAAGGACTAGCTGAACTTGCAGGAGCAGCATTGACCTGTGATTTCGGCGCAGGGGTTGGCGCACTTTCATCTCCCAGAGCCACAAGCAATCTACTGCAGAAGTCCTCCTTCGAGACGTCTGGCCCAATATATTCCTTCAGCGTGCCGTTCCTGGAGGCGGGTTAGTCCATGCCACAGGAGGGAAACAGTCGCGTATTGAGATAATAGGCACGCACTTAATGAGTACCACTGTCGGAAACTTCGAGACCGGACAAAAAGAGGCCAGGAAGCCAGCTTCCTGTGAGCCTGCCGTCAAGCGCAACACAACGGCTTTAGCATTGAGTGCTTCCACAACCTGTATAGGGGGTCAGAAACGTGAGGCCATGGTTGCAGCAGGCAAACATACCTCCTCTTCAGTAAAGTAGCTATCCTCCCATGAAGAGCTCAACTCCGAGTCATCTGTATCCGCGTTTGAAGATCAGCGACATGTCACTCAATGCGGGGAGAAACCAACCGACCTCGGACAAAACAGGTAACCGCCTTAGCATCTCTTACTGCGAGAGCAATACCCTCCTGAAGGGATCCTTGATAAAAAAGCGTCATGATCGCATCCCTGTGCCGTTGTAGAAGTAACAAATGCGAAGAAGAGCTAGTGCGGAGAGTACAACTATAAGATTGGGGAAGCCCACCGCCTAGAAACCTCCGATCCCGAAATCCCAACTGCCGCTGACCAGACTCGCCTTTTTTTGTTCTCGCTACTAACACCTCAATCGCTCTGCATATTCTCCCTTGAAGCCGTCAGCATGCGGCCGATTTTCTCCGTTATACGGAAATCCGCCATGGGGCCTTGGGCATCCCCGACTCGGACTGTGCGAAGCGCTCAACTACGCTCGAAGCTCGACTCTATCTGCGCCAAATGCCGTGGGCAGCAGTTCCGCCAGATATCGCAGTCGCGTCAGCTGGCTGAGAGTCTGAATATTGTGGATCACCCCGCGAAACTTGTTCGCGTCAATAAGAAGCATGGGCCTGGTCTGATCATTCTGGGTATGTTCAATGCTATCTGCTTCCGAGGACAAAGTCCGTACCCCAAGAGATTCACTGCTAACAGATGCACTTATTCATTTATAGCTCTTATTCCTATCATCTCATTTGGCCTGGGAGCGTGGCAGATACAGCGTCTGGACTGGAAAACCAAATTGATCGCCAAATTCGAGGACCGTCTCGTTAGACCACCTCTCCCGCTACCACCCCGAATTGACCCGGATGCGATCTCAGAGTTCGATTACCGCCGTGTCTACGCTACCGGTCATCTCCGACATGACAAGGAGATGCTGGTTGGACCCCGTATGCACGACGGCGAGGATGGATTTGTGGTTGTTACGCCACTCGAGCGAGAGGGACAGAGCACCGTGCTTGTGAACCGGGGCTGGATTTCTCGGAAATTGCAGAACCAGAAAGACAGACCTCAGGGACTACCACAAGGGGAGGTCACGGTTGAGGGCCTACTACGAGAGCCTTGGAAGAAGAACATGTTTACGCCAGATAACAAGCCGGAGGATGGAAAGTTTTACTTCCCTGATATTAATCAGATGGCGGAGTTGAGTGGCAGCCAGCCTGTTTGGATTGAGCAGACTATGGGTGAGATGCATGATTGATCATCTAAGTAATGCGTGACTGACGACTTCCCCCAGTGCCTGACCTGGTCGAATCGTATGATCGTGAAGCCAAGGGCATTCCCATTGGTCGCGCTGCAGAGGTCAACCTGAGAAATAACCACTCACAGTACATTTTCACATGGTATGTTGAGTCATTTTCTGAACGCAGTAATATGTTGCTCACGCTCTGCAGGTTTGGTCTGTCTTTCGCTACATCTGTCATGATGTGGATGCTCATTCGGAAGAAGCCCAACGAGGCAATGCGCCGAGTGCGCCAGAACCGAAACTGGTAATCGGCGTCTTGAATGTCGTCCTCATCTTTGCATAATTCATTGGTGTTTGGGGGCGTTTGTTTTATGGAGCTTTAGCTTTGGACATTCATGGTGGCATGGCCAATCTCATGTCTTGCTGGAGCTCTTTGGGGAGATGTTTCTGGGCGAGGGAAAACACGGTCGTTGAGCTGTTGATATGGCGTTGTCTGGGAAAGTCAGCAATTGGTCTGCGAATAGTTCTTTGTTGACACTGACCTCCTCAATAACGCCGTGACATCACTCTCGTCAATGGTCTTCCGTCCTGCATGCTTCGAATAGGCGGCCAAGTCTTGGCTCGCTTGCTCGAAGTACCACGCGGATGCTTGCTCGATTGCGGCCAGTGCAGCCTTGTTGATTTTCGTCTTTGAGCCTCCCTTCGAGTGTGCAAAGCGAGTGGCCAGCTTTTTGACCACGCCTGCAGGCAAGTTTGGCACAGGAATTCCGTGTCGCGAAATCTTCTTTTTCTTGGTCTCGGTGGGGACGTTTTCATCGCGCAATCCGCCTCCGACAATTCCAGGGCTTTCGCTTGGAGACGCTGGGGGTGCAAGGTCAAGCCCGAAACCGAAACCACCACCGGCATCGTCATCATCTGATGGTGCTTCAACTGTCTCAAGTGGCTGAACGTCCGCGGCAGACAGCTGGAAGTCGTCAAAGTCGTTCACGTTGTCATCAATCGGATCCTCGAGCGGAGCGGCAGCAGGGGATGGAAAGTTGAGATCAAAGTGGAATCGGCCCAGGTCTTCCGTCTCTCCCCTATTTGTGATATTAGCATCTGTAACATAGACAATCCAACTCGCGTATACCCACCCTCTATCAAAATCGCCCCCGCTCATCATTGTATCCTCTCCACCTTCCTCGCCAATGATGCCGGTTTCGTCTGCATCATCACTGTCATATCTCGTCTCCCTGAAATCCTCACTAATTCTGCCAGTAGCTCGGCTCATCATCGATAAACGATCCCGATCTCTAATACTCGTATCCCGAGGATACTCGACAGATCGATATGTAATATCCATATCCTCTTCTCCGAGGGCAAGAGACATCCGAGGTGGGCGCATTTCAGGACTTGCGTCTTCGTCTTCTTCCTCGCTTTCTTGGATAGGCAGCGATAACCTCGGCCGCTCAATCTCCGGTTCGTTGTCTAGCTCTTCAAATTCATCTTTCGGCTCTTCAACGGGCTCCGGCTTCTCCTGAGGCGAGGACTTGATAACTTTGGAAGAAGGAGCGAGCGCTTGATGCCGGCATACTAAATCAGCAACATTCCTCACACATCCAGTGACATTGAGGTTCTTTCTTACCTCTTCCTAGATTCCGGAGAATATCAAAAGTAGTCTCTCGCTGCATTCGGCCACTTCGTCGTCGATCTCGACCAGGTGTATTAGCGGCGCGCTGTTGTCTGGCACGAAGTCCGTATGGTGTTGCAGGTGCGCCCACGCCCCGAGCACGCGGTGTGAATCGAGAGGCTGATCGTTGGGCGGATGGAGTGGCTGCGGTGATGAGTCGACTTGGTGTCAGTGGGTAGCGCGTGTGACTGGGTAAGCGCTGAAGCTGTATCGATAATGTCAGTGATGCCCTGCGCCCTTAACATCAAATTGCACAACTTACTCCTGTCAGTGTTGTATCTCCTGATGGCGTACTTATCCCGGGTGAGATGCGCCGACGCGCGTTTGGGGTAGCGGTAGTAGCCATTCTGTCTGATTTCTCTCAGTAGTGTACAGCTACTTCATGCAAGGTTTATCAGACTGCATATAGTATCACCAGGGTGGCAACAGCACAAGTGAACACCAAGCAATGAATACAAGACTGAGGATTGTCGCGTCTAACAACAATTGCGGGCCAAAGCCTGGGCGGTGGGTCCTTATCGATAAGTCTGGCTGAATCAGCCGGCTTTTTTTTCGCATCGAATTGAGCTTCGGTTTTCCCAATTGAACATTGCGATTATTTAGATTCTGATTTGGATACTCTGTGAATATCGCAAAAATGCCCGACGCAGTTGCCTCCACTGGGCTCTCTGACAAGCTCCAAAACAAGCGCAAGAGGCAAGCCGACGATTCTTCCAAGCAAGAACAGCCTGAGGGCGCTGCTACCAACGCCGAGGGCTCAAAGAAGAAGAAGCAGAAGAAGAACAAGAAGAACAAGAAGAAGACTGATCAAGATGGAGAGCAATCAAAGAAGCCGGAAGACAAAGAGGGCATTGACGATTCGATTGGCAAAATGGATGGCCGTTTGCTAGGCGACCACTTTGCGCAAAAGGCCAAGAGACTCGACAAGCAGCTGTCTGCTGTTGAGCTTAGTGACCTCTCTGTTCCTGGTACGTATAGATATTGTCTTTCTATATGGTGATGGCCAAGAGTTCTCTAGACTAGAAATCTAACCTCCTGCAGATTCCGCATTCCTCGATACCTCTTCCTTTACCGCCGCCAGAGATCTGGACCAACTCCCCGACTTCCTCAAGGCATTCAGTCCCAAGGGTACCGATCTGTCAAAATCCTCCGAGCAGAACGGCACGCCACATACACTGGTTATCTCTGGTGCTGCTCTGCGGGCAGCTAATGTTGTCCGGTAAGTGGACTGACAGTCTTTGAATTATTGTCGAAAATAATGCTAACAATATATCCCCAGCGCCCTCCGCTCTTTCCAAACCAAGGAGAGCATTGTAGGAAAGCTATTCGCAAAGCACATCAAGCTCGAAGAAGCGAAACAGTTCTTGCAGCGTGCCCGTAGCGGTATCTGCGCTGGAACACCCACCAGGATAGCCGATTTGATCGAGTCTGGTTAGTTTTCCCATTTGCTACGAGCAATCGTTCTGTTCTGTCATACATATACTAATTGTTGATGTTTAGGAACTCTCAAGTTGGATGAACTGGAGCGCATTGTCATTGACGGATCACACATCGATCAGAAGCAACGGGGTATCTTCGACATGAAAGAGACGCATATACCACTGCTGAAGCTGCTTACTCGACCGGAAGTGAGCAAGCGATATGGGGCGTCCAAGAAGGGCGTTAAGATCTTGGTGTTCTAATATAGTAGACGGTAATGATGATTGATTCTGCTTGTCTGGTCTTTTGATACCTAAGAAACATGAATATATGCATTATACTGTTTCCCAACATGCTTCGTAGAAACTAACGTTAAATGCGATCTATAAAAGTTGATGTCCTTGTCGGGAAAGGTTGGCCTTCACCGCCTCCCAGGTACGCGGCAAAAATTTAATTTCACTTTTCTCTCCGCCTGATTTTTTTGGAGCTTTGAGTCTCGCTGCACTGCAAAGTTTCTCCACTTCTTTGTTTGCTTTTTCGAAGATCAGCCGGTTCAGGTTTACTCGAACCTACATTTTATCCCACCATTGAAGCATCTAATCACAAGTCTTCCGACACAACAGACACAATGGGTGACAAGCGCAAGCTCGTCCAAGATGAGGTCGTTGAGCCTGAGGGCAAGAAGATGAAGAAGGACAAAAAAGAGAAGAAAGAAAAGAAGGAGAAGCGCAAGTCGCGCGATGAGTCCGAGGATGTTTCTGTCGAGACGCCGGCACAGGATGAAGTGAAGAGTGAAAAGAAGGAGAAGAAGGAGAAGAAGCAGGAGAAGGACCGCAAGGAGAAGAAGGAACGCAAGGAGAAGAAAAAGGGCACGACCAGTGCCGATGAGCCTGCTGCTGCTTCCGAGGACGCCATGGATGTGGACGAGACTCCCGCCGAGAAGGAAGAGAAAAAGGAAAAGAAGGAGAAGAAGGACAAGAAGAACAAGAAGGAGAAGAAGGAAAAGAAAGATAAGAAGCAGAAGATCGAGGAGAAGTCCGAGGAAAAGCCCGCAGAGGAGCCCGCAGCTGAAGCTCAGGCTGAAGAGGAAGCCGAGGAGGCTCAACAATCCGGGAAGGCCGCTCGCTTCATCTGCTTCGTCGGTGCGTTACACCAGGTCAATCATCCAGCACCAACATCAGCTCTAACCAAATGACATGCAGGCAACCTTCCCTACTCCGCCAACCACGAGTCATTGACCAAGCACTTCGAAAAGAACCCACCAGCCACAATCCGCGTTGCAACAAGAAAAGAAGACCCCAAGAAGTGCCGCGGCTTCGCCTTCATCGAGTTCGACAACTACGACCGCATGAAGACCTGCCTCAAGCTGTACCACCACTCCAACTTCGACGACGGAAAGTACCCGCCTCGCCGGATCAACGTCGAACTGACGTGAGTAACCCTAAATCACATTCAAACATGAGCATGACCATGAGCATACACTAATGCACAACCACAGTGCCGGCGGCGGTGGCGCCAACTCAGAACACCGCAAAGCCAAGATCCAGGCCAAGAACGAGAAGCTGAACGACGAGCGCTCACGCCAGGCTAAGGAGATCAAGAAGGACAAGAAGAAGTACGAGAAAAAGCCTGCTGCTGATACCTCCGGTGCCAATGCCGTTGAGGTTCCTGCTGACGATGATAAGTGGGCTGGTGTGCACCCTAGCCGGAGAGGACGTCTCTAGGCGTGTCTCTTTCTTGGGAGGTATGTAATGCCCAACTAAGACTTGCTTTTGGGTACTTGAATTTTTCGTTGGAAGATCGCTGTACAGTGAAGTGCCTGGAGCAGGCTGGATGTTTTGGACGCCTTGGTATGCATTTTGTATTTTGTCCCATCCGCTTTTCTTTCCTTTTGTTCACAAAAGTACCATTATGTCTCTCTGTTATTTGGATAGAAGATACCAATCTCATTGCTTATATTTTTGGGTTTGCGGCCATATCAATACGATATCTTATAACGTTACAATAAGCTTCAACTATGCGCTTTTCGAACCGTCTAGCCCATCCCTCCTCTTGTCTCCATGACATACTACCTGCCAACTACAGTAGAATTTAGGAAAACACGCATAGATTTAAATAAACTATAAACATTGTCAAAGAGCGAAAGATATAGAGCGACAGGATAATTCCCAAAGAAGATAAACGGTTAATGGATTTCATCAAAACAGAGGCCGAAACAGCCTCCAATTACCCAGACGCCGTATTAACTATATATTATTCATTATAGCATACGAAGAAAATGGGAGAGACGAGTCAAGCCAAACGCTCTACAAGATCATGCATTTGTTGACTCCCTTCCTCCCGGATTTCGTAGCGGGACGGGGGTTGAGAACGGCCCTGGAAAGATGATAAGAGTTAGGAACGGATTCCTCGCGTGTTTTCTGGTTTGTAGAAGGAATGGCATACCGGATGGCTTCGTCGAACACGCTCTTCAGGTTGCGTTGTGTCAGCGCCGAACACTCGAGGTACTTATGTGCGCGAATCTCCTTGGCCACAGCCAGGGCTTGTTCGTACGAGACAGTCTCCATCTTGCGTGCTCGGAGGGCTTCGACGGTGTTGCGGTCGTCTCTCAGGTCGAGCTTGGTGCCGACGAGGATGATGGGGACATTGGGGGCGTGGTGTTCGATCTCGGGGAACCACTAATTTTGGTAGAGTGAGTTACATGTCCAAATTAGGGGAAATATAAACAGAACCCTGTGGGTGCGGGTGCGGGTGCATGTGCATGTGTAGGATATCTCCCTGGATGTGTAGATTCTAGGGCCAGATCCGTACCTTGGCTTTGACGTTATCGAATGATGGAGGGCTGACGATGGAGAAACAAATGAGGAAGACGTCGGTTTGCGGGTAGGATAGCGGTCTGAGGCGATCATAGTCTTCTTGTCCGGCGGTATCCCACAGTCCCAGGCTGATCGGCCTGCCGTCCACCATAACACTAGCCGTGTAGTTGTCGAAGCTGTCCTGGCATCAATGTCTGGTTCGACAGAGCGTTGAGGATGAGGGGTAGGTGGGCACGTACACAGTAGGGATGTACTCTCCCGGGAAGGCATTCGTCGTATAGGAGATGAGAAGACATGTCTAAGACCGGTCAGAGTCATTGTCGATTGGACGGAGGGTGTAGACTTACTTTGCCAACTGCACCATCACCAGTCACCACGCACTGGATCTCAATTAGCGCATCCCTAGGAGTGGGCGCGATCTACCCACCTTCAATGATTGAGTTGCCGGACCCGTCGCCATGTGCGCGAGTTTAGATGAACAAATTCCAGCGATAAGGGTAGGACACGGGGGTATCTGGTTGTTATTAGCCTCAGGGGAACAGCTGAAGCTAGGAGGTCGGAGCTCGGGAAAAGAGGGGGGGGAGTGTGGAGACCACGTAAGAAATAAGATATGAAGGGAGTTAGAGATACTCACCTAAGGAAATCTAAGGCTTGGAAAGAAGTTGAGAAAAGAGAGAAAGAGGAGAAAATAGGGAAGGGCGATCGGATCACTAGCCCCCTCTAAAGAGATCCCCCACTGTGTCAAATCCGCTATATTTAATTGTGATAGGATCGAATTCTGGAATATCAACCCAATAGAGTCCAAACAAAGGCGCCTACATCGTCTTATGCATGTCTCTATTTATATCCCGTCCTGTCAGCTGATATAGGCTATTGGAACCTATGGTGAGAAGTTTGGATCTACAGTCGCGACACTCCCCTCCAACCACCTAAGAATCCACCCGCCTTCAGCTCCGTCGGTTTCGCCAACAAAGCGGGCAATTTGCCCGCGAATTCACGGAAATAGGGTGCCTTCATGTGGGCCTGGACCGCCGCTTGGTGTTTATACCTAAAACGGATCAGGACTTGGTGGCAAGAAAATACTTGTATAATGTAGAAAAATGCCGAGGCACGGTCACCCTCAGGGGAGGGGGCTATAGGGTCTACGGAAGGATTGGCTTACCTCTCAACCACCACGATCTCGTTGGTCTTCTCGATCTGGAATGCGTAGTAGAGCAGGGTATCTGGTTCGTGTTCTTGAACCTGTTTGGTGACTGCGGATACGAGTGCCGCCACCTGTGATATACATTGTGTGAGATGTTTGGCCCGCCAAGATATAGAGAGGACGGGCTGAGCTGACCTCTGCGAAATTCTCTGGCTTTGGCGTGATCACTGCGGTGACGTTGATTTCGGACATTGTGGGATATGAACGGGAATCCGGAGTATGAATATGAACACTGGTCAAGTGTTAGTCTATGGATATGCGAGATAACAAGGCCATGAGGACAACCAACCGTTGTAGTATATGGAGGTATAACAGAATGGGTTAGATATCAAACCGCTCTTGTAGGGCAGGGCTTAAATATGTACAGTAGGTACAATGCGGATCATATAATCCACATTGACCTCGGGCCATGGCAAGTGGGTCTAGACGTGCAGATGCGCCACATTTGATCATGTTATGCACTGGAGGTGCTTCGGAATTTCTCTCACCAGCAAGCAATATCTATTTCATCAACTTATCGCAAATGTAGCAGTGTTCCTCTTCTGCTTTCCGTTTGCCGCTTTTTGCTCGTATGTGATCTCATCCTGCTCAATGTCCGTCCCGATATCGTTCTATAAAACCATCCCAGAGCATGCGCATTTCTACTATGATGGCGCTATAGGTAGAGCCAGCCATCCTCTTATCGATTACCTCGTTGGGAAGCCAAACGACGTACATTATATATTTTTCCCTGTTGAGGCAGCGGTGGCTGAGTTCCAAGGTTGTTACCCATCTAAATTATAATAATATGATGAATGGAAGTGATAAAGAATAGAGGGAAACAAATAGTGGAGATATCATCGAGCTAGACATGGGGTCCTGGGATCTGCCGAGTATTTCTACCCGACAGGGCCTCTTCCCGATTTATATCCCGCCGTTGTGATAGCTTCCTGACGTCCTGCGGGTTCCGGAACTTTTCCAGATAGTGAGAAGCTTCCCAGAACACCTCTCAAACGGCCTGCATAGCACCATCGTATGGAAATCCCCGGGGGCCATAGGGAAATCCATTCTCCCCTTTCGTTCGATCAATGTGTTCATTAACGGCATAAGGATCTTCATTCGTGAGCTGTCGTGTCTGCCAGAACGCGACGGTTCTGGCTAACTTACCAGTATATACTCACTGCGACGCTCGAAGCAGTACCGGTATTTTCTCTGACCGTGAGCTACTGAAGGAGATGCAGTCTGGAGGATCTTCTTCGCCGTCTTGGATACATGTCTTCCATAACCTAAAGCAGCGTACGCAGACCTTTGGCATGTGTGGATCACCCATAGAACTAGATGCCGAGACTGGGCGATGGGATATTTCTGATTGACCCGTCCCTCCAGTCCGGCTCAAACCAACCTCCAAGCCTTTACCATCCATTGGGGTGTTGCGCTCCGGGCCAGTCGCCGAAGTGCCACTCGTCATAGTCCCACTGGCCATAGTTTTACTGGCCGTTTTGCCCATAACTTTGGCAAGGGCATCCACACATTTTGACAATTCAAGATAAGCCCCAGATACCGCCTGTGCCGCCTGCATAAAGTCCTTAATGTTTGATTCACTCATGCCACTTTGTGGGGGATTGTTGACACTGGGTTGGAAGTGACCACGGGTTGAGTTCATTATATCGCTCGCAGGAGTGGCTGACAGGGCCGAATTGGAAGGCTTCACGGTTTGGATCCATTATACCGTTCCGTGGGAGATTGTTGACGAAAGGTTGGAGCCCCAATTTTATAGAAATATTGATAGCCTCAGGCAGCAGCTGAATCAGCTACCGCCGAGATTCGCGTCACTGAACAAACCAATCACCATCGGCACTCAGCACATAACAACCCCACTTCCCCCTTCTGCGGCACCGATTTCTCCGATTTCCGGACTCACGACCTCTCACATTTGGCGGCTTTATACTGGACTGCAGGCTCCTGATGGACTTGGGGTATCGGAACATTCTGGCACCGGGGCCAAACTACCCTCCCGACTTTCGGTCCACCTTACCCCGGCCTCTGCAGAGAAGTTCAGAATCTTGCGAGATGGAGAAGACCCCGCCTGTCACGGGCAAACGCCGAGGTGGCAGCCGGAAAGCCTGTAATGAATGTAAGCAGCAAAAGGTGAGCCACATGCATTGCCCCAGTTACTACTCAATGCTTTCCCCAGTTTCCGGCTGTTTCAGTTCCACCCCGCTGATGCCTGATAGTTGCGATGTGATATTGTTCAAACCCCGGCTGCGTCTTGCTCGCGCTGTCGCAGGCTGGGGATAGAATGTAAAATCGAACAGTCTTTCAAGCGAATTTCCAAAAGAAGGTATTTATATACGTCGTTTTCTATTCTATGTTTTTGTATCTCTTATTGATTCGATCTACAGGCACAATGCTGAAATGGAAAAGGAGATCGCAGATCTCCGACGCCGTCTTGGAAACGGTTCAGATCATGAACAGACAGCAGAGCAAGAACCTCATGAGTCCCATGGAGGTGATGACCTGTCTCGGTGCTCAGAGGACGTCTTTGCCCGCCGGGACTCTGCAGCAGTTGACCGCTCACGACCCGTCTCAGTTCCAATTGAAACACATCCTTCTGTAGCAACTCCGTTGACTATGAAGAGAGATGGTTCCATCATATCGCAAGATGAGGGCCATTGGAGATTGGAGGATATCTCTATTTCCAAAGCTCGAATTGCCCGGCTTTACGACCAGTATGGATTGGTTTCTCATTAGACCCGCGTTGCAGCTAACATGAACTCAGGTACTTCACATATTACCACCCATTTCTCCCTCTACTAAACCCTCCAAAGCCACCAGAGGTGTATTTGCATCGTTGCCCTCTTTTAGCATGGACTATCATCTGTGTTGCAAGTAGGCGGTCTCCTTATGAGCCTGGTCTTCTAAGTGCACTGTCAGGGCCATTCAGCAGGCTGCTTTGGTCAACAATCACTAGCGTGCCGCAGGACTATCGAGTGGTCAAGGCGCTTTGCGTTCTATGTACTTGGCCTCTTCCAACGACAAGTCAACGTACTGATGCAACCTTCATGCTCAGTGGCTTGATGATGCAAATTGCCATGCAACTTGGTCTGCACCGTCCAGTACAAGCTGAAGAGTTTACAACCTTTCGTATGGAAGTCCAAGGCGAAGCGCTGAAGGATCGATTACATACATGGGTCATTTGTAACATCGTGGCTCAAAAGTGAGTGTAATCATTAATATCCGGTCAACCAAACACTGACTTGAAACAGTGTTGCAACCGGTTATGGACAACCAGCAAGCACAATATACGACTGGGCTCTTGAGCCTGCATCTTTGAGGGATGCCGATTACCGTCTTCCCCATGACCTGGCTATCCGCCTTCGGATTGAGAAATTCTGTGATAGGGTGACCAAGGCTTTGTATAGTAGCAAACCAGAACCAGCGGAGTTCGTAAGCGCCGACAAGCTGGTGGTCGTGCAGATCCTTGAGAGTGAACTCAGAGAGATGGAAGTTGAATTTGGCAGGGAAATTTCAGGTATGCGTGTAATCCCGATGCATCTAATGATTGGCTAATTCTAACATCTTTAAGCAATTAACCTCATCCACCTTCGTGCCGCTGAACTGCACTTCCGGTACTTCATGTTCTTGGGATCCAACGCCCGAGTCGACGACTTGACCAAACTATACCTTGCAACAACTTCCTTTCTCGGCCGTGTTCTCGATCTCGAAACATCGCCAGGCGATTTAATTGGCCACTCTACCAATTATATCCTTCAAATGATTGTATCGGCCGCGTTTGCGCTTATGAAGTTGCTGAAGAGTAGCTTCAGCCGACACATCGACTTCAACCATGGCAAGCTATTGTTCAATGGAGCAATCTCAGCTATTCGCCGAATCAGCGTTATGGATCATGACCGTCCTATCCGTCTTGCGGATATTCTCGCTCAGATGTGGAATGCTACTAGCTTAGAGCCTGCTGAAGAGGATGCTTTACAGCTCAAGGTTCGCTGCCGCATGAGTATGAGCCATGTCTATGATACGGTCTGGCGTTGGCGACAGAGGTTCCGGCCTGTTAAAAGCTTCGAGGAGATGCAGGGTAAGGCTTTTGCATTTTACGAAAATGTTCTATTTTGTTCTAACTTTTCTTTCAGCGGCTGCCATAGCGGCAAATCAAGATATCTCTACCACGACGAGACCCCTGACAAGGCCACAAGACAGCTCCCTCGAGGATTCATCTTTGATAATGCCTGCTCAGTTTGACGAAGGCGGCGCGTTCTTCAGCGAAGCAGGGTTCTCAGAGGTGTTTGATTCCCTCAATTGGGTCTTTGATGGCATCCCCGACTCTTTTGTCGCACCGCCGGTGCTATAGACCGATGTGCCGTTTTGCTTCATGCCATTGCCAATGGTCTGTATAATTGTAATTTGATTCCTAGCGACGATACCAAACAAAAGTGAATTTATTTATATCTCGGTGGCTGTGCATCTAAAAACGGAGAATAACGTAGTCAAGCCCAACGAGGTAAAGATCGAATCCACTTAAAGTGTGGCTGACCCAGCATTACGTCTACCAGCAACCATCTTGGGTAGAACCGTTCGCGCCACTGCATTGCATGTTTTAGCCCAAGGTGAAACGCGCAGGCTCCAACATTCTTGTACCTGACCTCATCGCCCCTAACCCACCGCCAAGCATTTCAAGTTCCGGTGTCATTGCGGCCCGTGTTACTCCCCATCTCCCCTCCTGACACTACCCATACCACTTGAGACACCAGCTTCCATGTCGGATACAGCTTTACACGAACCCGCGCTACCTCAGCTCTCCGATGCGCCTCCCTCCAGCGCCGGTCGCTCGTCTCCCGGCCACCCCGGAGCCGAGCAGCCCCACGAGGAGGCCATCTCCGACGAGCTGAAAGCCCGCCTGGATAAAGTCATCTACTCCGATGTGAGCAGTCGCAAAAAGCCCGCCGAGAACTGGCAATAAAATGAAGCAATTAGACTAACCGCGCTCGTGTCGCATGCAGATCGGCATCACCACTCTCCTAACTCGGCTCAAGCAAAGCGTAGCCTCCGCCAGGGTACGTGGGACGCCAACAGCCCCCAAAGAACCGATCGCAATTGCTGACTATACTCTGCAGGATTTCTCGACATTCCTGAAAAAGCGCGGATCGCTCGAGGAGGAGCACGCTCAGGGGCTTAGGAAGCTCTCCCGAGTGATCAACGATGCGGCGAACCGTACCGAGAACCGACAAGGAACATACAGCTCCAGCTACAAGGATATCCACCGACTGCAAGAGCGGATGGTCGACCATGGCCTCCAATTCGCCGTCTCCCTTCAACAGATGGCCGACGACCTGCACGAGCAAGCGGGTAACATCGAGCGCGGCCGCAAGCAATGGAAGCAGACTGGTTTAGCTGCGGAGAAGCGAGTCGTCGATGCAGAGTCTTTGGCTGAGAAGGCAAAGGCTAAATATGAGACTTTGGCTGAGCAGTACGACCGTGTTCGCACCGGTGATAAGCAGGGTGGCAAGTTTGGCCTGAAGGGCCATAAGTCTGCTGCACAGCATGAGGAGGAGTTGTTGCGCAAGGTTCAGAATGCCGATAGTGACTATGCGGCTAAGGTTCAGGCTGCTCAGGCTGCGCGCCAGGAGCTCGTTTCTACGCACCGGCCTCAGGCTGTTGAGAACCTTCAGAAGCTGATTAGAGAGTGTGACTCTGGCTTGACTTTGCAGCAGCAAAAGTTCGGTATGTTCTACTTATTTGGAGATTGGTTATGCAAATACTTATGGTTTGCAGCTTCTTTCAGTGAGAAATTGCTTCTCGGCCAGGGTCTCTGTGTCAGCCCTCTCAAGACCGATGGCAACACAGGGTCATTTGGTCCCAAGAGTCTTGCCGAAGTTGTGCGTCAGGTTGACAACCAGAAGGATCTCCATGAGTTTATCCTGAGCCACGAGGGCAACCCCGGGGCAGTGGCTTCTGAAGCGGTCAAATATGAGCGCCACCCCGTGAGTCTCCTAGACGCCCCCAATTGCTTTCTTCATTAACGCAGTCAAGACCCTTGGTGGAGGCGGTGCTGCCGCAACCCCTGCTCCCGCGGCGCCTTCGCAACCTAGCTCCCAGAACAAGCGCATGTCGACATTGCCGCAGGCGTTTTCCTCCCAGGCTAATCTGTCTTCACCCGCGCCCCAGCAACCACAGAGCGCTGATAGATTGCCTCAACAACCACCCTATCCGTCCCAACCAGATACCTTCTCCCCACCACCAGCAGGCCAGCAGCCGCCTTACCCAGTCTCAGGACCTCCTGAGCCTGCCCCCAAGGTCCAGGCGCCAATGGCAGGACCTCCCCCAATGGAAAAGGGCTTCCAGTCGAATCTCCCTCCCTTGAAGCCAGTGTTTGGTGTTTCACTAAATGATCTGTACGCCCGGGATGGAACTGCCGTTCCGTTCATTGTGTACCAGTGTTTCCAGGCCGTAGAGCTGTTCGGTCTGGATATGGAGGGTATCTATCGACTTTCGGGAAGTGCCAACCACATTAGCCATATGAAGGCTGTGTTCGATAATGGTGAGTTTGAAACAAGACCTGAGGCATGGCCAATATCTAATCTCAACCAGATTCCTCGCAAGTCGACTTTACCAACCCGGAGAACTTCTACCACGATGTCAACAGTGTGGCAGGACTCGCGAAGCAATTTTTCCGGGACCTTCCTGATCCTCTGTTTACTTCCCAGTATTACTCTCAGTTTGTTGACGCAGCTCGTAAGTGACATGCCATCAAGTCGTATAGAAACAGGAAACTTACCATGGGATAACAGGTATCGACGATGATATCCAACGCCGAGACTCGCTGCACGCCCTTATCAACAGCTTGCCCGATGCTCACTATGCCACTCTTAGGGCTATCATACTGGTATGGCACTCCCAACTCAATATAGATACGATTACTCAGAGATACTAAATCCGCTACAGCATCTGAACAAGATTCAAGAACACTACACCCAGAACCGGATGAACGCGGGCAATCTGGCTATTTGTTTCGGGTATGTTCCACATCGCAACAACCTTCACGACCAATTCATATACTAACTTCTCTTAGACCAACCCTCATGGGCGCCAACTCCGGCGGCAACATCGCCGACGCAGGGTGGCAAGTCCGAGTCATCGAAACGATCCTGAATAACACATTCCAGATCTTTGATGATGATTAGACGTATCGCCCCATCCACCCGTTTCATATCATAGTCCAGAGCCCAGTGCTCACTCTACATTATGCGGTGCACGAACGTCAGTCCACGGGCTCACGTCCTTATGTCCTTTCCTTGTTGCATCGATTTCGGTGCCTCTAATGCCCTCCCAAAGTACATCCTCCTTATGCTCTTTGCGTGTCATGTTCGTCTTCTTATCCACACATCTCCATCTGCCGTGCGCATTCTATTCCTGTGTTTCAGTGATACCTTGCTATGCTACACATTGATACTGTGCTCATTGAACCTTCCTTGTACATATACATATTGTTCTTTTTCTCTTGCCTTACCTTATCTTGGTATTGGTATCGGTCTTGGTTTGTCCACCTCCACTCGATATTGTCAGTAACCAAGTCGTGCATATCCATGGCGCCGATGATTTTGCGTAAAAGGATATATCGTTGTATCCACTTAGTTTACTATCATGTATTGGTTAAAAGGTTGTGACAGATTACTGTAGTCTCTTCATAGAGTCATGATTATGGTTATAGTTATAGCGGACAGAATTCTCGAAACAAGACATCAATATCATCTATAAGAAGTGAAGGCTTTGGTAAAAACATACGAAGTTCAATCCAAGTAATAAACAGTGTGGCTATGGTACATGAGTGTAAATGCTTTCTATATAGATTCCTTTGTGTGCCAAGGAGAGAAGACAGGTACAGAACGGGCTTCTGTATCCAAGTTGTTGTAATGTTGTTGGGGTAGGGACGTGTAGTTGGTACAAACGTTAACACAAGGATGAATGGAAGATGACGTGCTGAAGTGCCAAACTTGAGCAGTAGCGATCCCAGTCCAAAACGAAGGCCAGAGATCAGACGATCCGAAAAGTATAAAACTCGGGTTCGAGTCCCTGCTTATAGAATCTGCAGGTATCCGCGTGTTCCCAGATCGGCGAGTTAGGGCATGTAATATATGAAAAACAAGCCTAGGAGACAGGATTTAGACAAATCTGTTCAAACTTATTTCTTAGGTCCTGAAGGCCCGTTCATCATAGATTCCTTGATTTGCTCCATGCGCTCCATGGCCGACAAGCCCGGCGCGAAGTAGGGATCTTCCATAACCTGTTGCATGGTAGTCGGGGTAACATGGCCCCAAAGCATCCAACCATTATCTTTGCCGTTCCAGCGCAGGTTCTGGACAACGATATACTCAACGCAGTCCTGTTCCTTGGTGGAGACAAGAGTTTCCACGGGCTGGGCTCCTCTCTTGGCTTGTTCGACCTTGCTGGTGGCCATGGACTGGCGACTTGTGACGCGCACGACGATTTGGCGGATGCCGGAGTTGTGGAGTTCGGGGATTGATGTTGCACGGTCTGACATGACGCGGAGGCCGAGGAAGTTGGTGCTTGGCTTGCGCAGGTACTTGACCAGTGTCCATTCCAGTTTCTCGGATGCGTCTCGAGCTTCGATTTGGCCGACTAGGCGTCCGGAGAGCCTCTCACAGCAGAATCGGCGGATCTCGGGAATATTGCCTCTGAAAGTTTGGATGTTGGTTACTGGTTCGAGGAATGGGATTTGGTGGGATGGGACAATGTATGCTTACTGGGCAAATGATGTGTACATCTTTTCCATTAGCTGGGAGGCGATATGACGACGCTGTTTGAAATTGAATGGGAAATTGTTCTCCCGCTTGCAATATTGCAGCAAACTGTATCATAGTTAAAAAATTATATTCTTTGCCAATGTATATGATGCATGCAGCGTTTGGTCAATGCGACAGCCACAAGGTAGACAAAGCATGCTGCTATATTTGTAATATCGAGGGAAGACTGACCTGCCGTAGTTGGTGAACAGGGTCTTGAGCCATGTCCACTCCATGTGCAATCTGTCGCGCGGGTGTTCAAAGATGGAAGGCCGATCCCTCCACAATGGCTTAACGAAGGTTCCAGGTAATATACCAATGTCATTTGGCAATTGATTCATCAGCATGTCCTTGGTGCGAGTCTTGAACGAGGGCTGAGACTGGGAGGGCTGGCGGAAGTTCATGGGCCTGCCAGCCAAGTTTTGAGACGTCTGTGAGAAGGACCGACATTGGTATGAACCAGCCGTACAGGATTGGGCGATGAAGGACCCAGACGGCACAATGCGCGCGGAGGTGCCCGTAGGCAATCGTAGGGTGGACGCCATGGCGAGTGGTTGCGTTGCGAAAGGAAGTGGTTCCTGGATGTCTAGGAAACACAAAATCCGCGGAATTAACAGTCACGTGAATCACTCCGCAAAGTCCCTGTCCAACACTTTAGATAAAGCTCGACCCTTCACAAGGTCCTAAGACCATTTACACTCTCCACTCTACCCACCGGCTTACTCGGTGCCATTTACAACCCTTGGACTGCCTAGTACTCAGTCATCAAACTGCCCCCGAAGCAAAGACACCGCCCGCTATCGACCGGGTCCCATATTTGCCCGATTAGGGGAGCCACAAACAACTTGACAACACCTAGTCTTTTCAAGGCCGATCGCAACGGTCACATTTAATAACCCTTCCAATCATTGCGTGGCGGCCGCATATGCCGCGATTCAGAATAAAGGCTGGCTCCTCCTCGACGTAATGCCTCTCCTCCGCCATACACTCCCCACGAACACCTATCTCGTGCCGACTTGAACCTCCGATCAGCTGTTCCACCCAGCTATCTCAACCCTCCCACCCCATTGCCGCAAGGCCAATTAGCTAAAGCGGTGGCTTCCCCATCTTCTTCCGCCGTCCCACCCTCCCCGACCTCCTCGACTTCCCCTACCCCACTCAGCAGCGATGCCGGCCAGACTGCTCCATCAGCACTTCACCCTCGGGTGGCTGTCATTCTGGGTGTCGACCGCAGGTGGTATATTCCCTTGTTGGTCTGTCGCGCGCTAAGCACGCTGCCCGCTGCTTGGTGGGGACTGCGATGTGCGTTTACCTTTTTGGCTGAGCTTCTGCATATTCGGCCGGGGATGGGACGGGAGGGGTGGGCGGCGGCGATTGTTGGTAGTGTTGGACAGGAATGGGATGTTGAGAGGAGGTTCCGTGTGACGGAGGTGGCTTTGGCTATTATGTGGGTATGTTATCTCTCCCCGGCCTATGTCTATCTTGATTGATATTGATATGGGGCTCAATCTCGTATGCGTCTTGATACTGACAGACTCACCAGTGCTGTGCATCCGCATACCTTTCATATTTCTTCGCTGATTGCATGATGTCTCGATGGTTGGTCGTTCAAAGCCTCCTTGTTATTCCTCATACTCATCCTTGAATCCAGGCTTCTAAACTACACACCGCCAGCCGTTGTGATCCGCCTCTTAACCACAAACGGCCTGATAGCGTATATAACATCTTGGGTGCTCTACCTATCCGGCGCATCCTCGGACCCTCGACTACTCCTACCGGCCTGGATATCCATAACAACTGTACGTTACCATATATCCAACTCCAACCCATACACATCCGCATACTGATCATGTCGCAATACAGTCCCTAACATTCGTCTACCACGCAACCCAAAACCACGCCACAATAAAACGCGAAACAGCAGCCTCCCTACTAGTCGTCTCAGTAGCAAGTTTCCTAAGCATGTCCTCACTCCTCATGCAGCTCCATCTAACGCGCGAAAACGAACCCGAAGTCCCTGTTTTCGTTATCACGCGCAAATTGTGGGATTGGGCCGTTGCTATCTTCCTGCGTATGCGTATTGCGGATGAGAGGGTAGTTGTTGGGGAGTTGTAGGTTTTCTGTGTTATTAATTCGCTTTTGAGGTTGTTGCTTTTTATCTTTGTTCTGTCTTTCTTCTTTCGGGATATCCAACAGAGTTTCTTTCAACATGACGATTCGAGTCGATCTACAGCGTTCGGTAGTGGTGGTTTTTGTACATTTTCGGGATTGGAGGGCTTTCTTCTTCCTCATACTTGTTTGGATTTTTGTTACGGTCTTTCTTTGTTGCGGTTTTATACCTCTGGCCTAGGGATTTCTTTTCTAGATAGGTCAATTCTCTTGGGACTTTCATGCATCAAAGGATTCTATAGTTGGAAAGTGGTAATCCCTAAGACAAACTCCTACTGAGTTGATGGAGTCAGGGTAGGGATTGGTCATGTTCTTTAGCGTATGAATGATTGATAGATCTAATCAGTCCTTATGGTGGGTTAGTTCACAATACAAGGATCCCGTGTGGAGTTCCACATCGGGTTCTACGTTTACACCCAAGCCTGCCGTCTGGAGTATTGGATAAACAGTTGAAATTCCTTGTTTCCAAGCAAAAGCACTGAATCACAAAACAAATAGTAGAAAAGACAGTACGAAGAAGGGAAGAAAGTTGAGACTGCATCGCATGCCCCAGTCCCTGGATCTCCTTGAGAAGCCAGGTTGACAAATTGACCAAGGCAATGAGCAACAAGTAACCCTCTCAGAGAGGAAACGAATGCGAACACAGTCATAAGAAAAAAAGAGATAAAGAATTGTCTGGCTAAGCAGGTAATGGGTATCTACCAACGCGTCGTTCCGTCATAATCCCGTCCTAATGATAAGCGGTCGAGCCCCCGCTCTCCTGCCGACCATGCGGGTATCGGCGCACACAGGTGTAGCGGGTCATTTCGACAAGGCCCAGCTCTACGCCAGGCACAGAGTGGTGGGGGGAGAAAGCAAGAGTCCTGATCGGTTTGAGGGCCAGTACAGAGAGAGGCCAGCGGGATAGAGATGCATGGGCAAGCTTCCTATACCACCGCTCACAGGGCAACAAACTGGGAAGAGGGGATCGGAACAAGGCATGTTGTTGGGATTAGAATCCGTGGACCTGAGAGCGCTGGGTTAGATGGTGATACTACCGAGCAGGAAGCGGGGCGACATACCTTGATGGTCTTGGCATCAAGCTCCAGGCCCTCCTTCTTGTCAGTCAAGAACTCCTGGACATCCTTTCGCTGGTCTCCTTGCAGCTGAATCACCTCGCCCATCTCGGTGTCAGCGACGATGGTGCCATTGCAAGCTGAGAAACAAGTTAGGTGAGTCCGCACGAGAAAAAGCAATGAGGCCAAAAACATACCGAACTTCTTCTTGATGACCTTAAGAATCTTCTTCTGGTCGAACTTCTTAGGCAGACCCTGGACAGTGGTCAGAGTCTTACGACCATTGCGCTCTGTGAAACAAGACGGTTAGCATGGTACCCCTTTTAGCGCCGGCGAGTCGCGACGGCAGCGACCGACGGGAAGGACAGGAATAAGGACGTACGCTGAATCCGTATGTGGATATAGTTCTGAGACTGTTTGGTCTCGCCGGTATCTTCGTCGGCTTCGGCGAAGGGGTCTGTGACGGTGTAGGGTCAGCCTCAGTCCAGTACCAAATTATTACCCCGCCGCAGTAAGACGAGGTGAGACGAGGTGGGGGTAGGTTGGAATCCACATCTTATACTCAGCCCGGGAGCAGATGCATCTCGAGGTCGCGTCGAGAGTGTACAAAGGCGTGGGAATGTATGAAAATGGGTTGATGCCCGACACGCGCTGGGAGGGGGAAAGTGGCGAACTTACCGAAGGTCTTGAGGTTTTCGATGGACATAAACTCGGCCTTTGCGTGATAAACGGCTCTTGAAAGCGTTGTTGGTAGAGAGAGCGAGAGGCGAGATTCAATATCTCTTTGAAAGACGAGGTGTGTGTGTGGAACGGAGAGAGGCTTGAGGCTGAAATGTTGGAAGAATCAGAGAGAAGAGCAGAGCCTTTTGAGGAAAGAGTCACGTTGTGGGGAAGGCGGTGAGGGGAAGGCGGTGTGGCCCAGGTACATCTACGACCAGGTGGCAATATGAGGTGTACTGATGTACTGAATACTTCTAAACTAAACTGGCAAACAATTATGCCCAGATGACTTTGATTGCGGCAATATTGAGGTCTGAGCGAAACTCATGGATAATGGTACAGCGTTACAATATGGTGGATCCCCCAACCTTTATATCAAACCCAACACTTTTACCAATTGTAATTCAGTGAAGATTGCAGGAAAGTATTATGTCTGTTGTAAAAAGGTATCGAATTCGCGTGTTTAGGCCGAAGGCAGGGGAGTCGGTGTGGGGGCAGCACGGCCACCAGGAGCCTGGGGAGGCATGAAGAGCGGGAAGTAGGTCTGGAATGGGGTCAGAAAGATGCCAATGGCCATGTAGATCGAATGCCATGCTGTTCGGGGCACATACAACAACCAGGGCCATCACTATACCACGATATTAGTCGAATTCAAGGAGAAGGGGGCAGGAGCACACATGGGAAGCACGAACAGGACATGAGAACCGACATATAAGCCGGTGTAGCAGCATTCTTCTTCTGGTCTGGGGATTCACCGAGCCAGGTCTGGAGCGAAAAGACGAATGAAACCCTGTATTCGAGTCAGATCGGGCCGATACCACTGCCTGTCTCACACTTACCATCCGATCATACTGTGTCCCGCGAGTTGTTAACAGTGTTCTTCGTTCTTGACCTGTGATAAATGCGCGGCGCGTATCGCTTACCGGTTGCGAGTGAACATCTAGGAGGCGAAGTGTCAGCACAAACGTATGCGACGCGAAGCTGGGGAGGCACTTACAGCGGCCATGGGCATGGTGCTCGACATTGTGCCTGTTGCATAACATCAGTCCTGATCCTGGGGCTGGGTTATCTGAAGACGTGGCGTACTGGAGATATCGGCATCGCTGCTGCTCTTGGGAGGATCGACGTAGGGGATGGCTGGGGTTGTTAGATTGACTGCAATGACCGAAATCGAGTCCACTCACCGAGGTCAGCCCTCCGCATATCTTTCTTTGACGACATGGTTGGTGTTGGATGGTTGTAAGAAGGATCGAACTGACCCCGTACGCCAAGGCCAGTCTGGGCCTCCCTCCGAGACCCCCGGATTGAATATCTCCGACACTTCTCTTTACGTTTACTTCTTACACCTTACTTACATCTTACACCGAATATACGGAGGGTCGGCAAAGTAGATCATTGCATTACCCACCGAGAACATGTCATGACCGGGTCCAACTGCCTGTCGGTGTGATGCCTGTGCATTGGTCACTTTCAGCCCCCTTGCAGTCTGATTGCCAGAGCACCTTGCACGGCATCTGAAAGCATAACCAGGTCAAACATGCCTCGGAGACCAAAGACCAGGTTGTGACAGCTCACCTCATGTCGATCAGTTATGTGCTCCGGGTGTGGGCCGACGCTCTACGGAATGTGGACGGTGGACAGTGGCCGGTGGACTTGATAAGCAGACTTGAAGCCTCGGGGATTATTTGGCCAAGACTGCTCTATGACCTGTGTAACACCGTTATCAAGAGAAGAAAAAGGAAGTGTAATCCCGCGCGGCTAAGACTTGTAACGAAACAGGCAAATCGCCACGGACAAGGACATGGAGGGCGGGGGGGGGACTTTGACGGGAGTTGGCGGACTTGGCTGGCATGATAGGACATCTCGGTAAAGACTCGGATATCAGGGGCAAATAGATGTGGCTCCATCATTCTTGGTAACACTGAAGTTGTAGTTAATCATATGATATGGAAATCATTCCGTCGATCCCTAACTGGACACTGAGCACTTCGGCTTCCTGGACTTGCTTGTTTCGACTGTTCCCCATATCCGCTCTATATCCGAGTCCCCGATCATTCAGCCCTTAACATTTTTCTTCACTTCCAACCTATCACGCCTTAACCTCGTCTAATCTCTGCACTTTCTGTACTTTGGTATCTCCGATCTGACCGACGATTCGTTTCCTCCCACATATCGCCCGAATGACCTGATTATACCCCCATATCGCATCATGAGCCTAAGATGATACCCCAATCTTCCGGCCAACCGTGGGGCCCTTCTCTACGAACGGTCAATGGCCCCGGACGGGTTGAGAATGCGATGTTAGGCCATGATCATCTCGACAGGCCTATGCCGCAGCCGCCGATCCGCCCAGCCGTCGTCGACCTGACCGCAGGCGGTCCAGAGTCGCAGGATCGAGAACCACCCCCAAACGACCGAGATTGGATGTGCCAGGTGGATCAAATGCGACGGATACTGGTGCGACTATGAGCGCAGAGGCAAAGAGTACTCCTGGAAGCGCAACTTCGCGACCTACGGTGTCGTGGCGCGGCCGGCCGCTCTGGTCCTTTCAAGCCGTGGTGTCGGAACTTCCGAACAGCGAGAATCGAGGCGATGGCACCGGTTCGAAGCCTCTATCGCCGCCGCCGTTACCTGCTCAGCCATGGGAGATCCCCGCTGTCGAGCCCCCGGCAACCACCGTTGTGAAGTCGAGGGAAAGCTCACCCGTCGGCGCTGTACAGACGACCCCATATCGCATTGAGACTCCCTCCGCTGCCCCGGTATACAAGAACCAGAGTAAGTGATCGCCATATCGCAGGGTGTCGCTATCGGACTAACATCTGCAGAACCCGCCGATTTCACCCCATGGACCGGGAATCATCCCGAGGACATCCTCAACGAACAAACCGCGAAACAAGGCTACTACGACCGGACACAAGTCTCCCAGAATGAATCCAATACCGCAAGACCAGCTCTTTACGCGCAGTTGAAACACCGGACGGGGTTGCAGATGCTCTCGTCGGTCTTTGCCGCGACACTAGAGAAACGGCAAAACCACAACACCATCCATGCACCATCGACCTTCAAACCGCCTCCTCGAGTCACTCTCACAGATAACAAGCGCGAAGGCTGGCTTCGCGATCTCGCCAATCCAACTGTTCCGCTGCGAAAGCTGAGCCGAACCATTCCACACGGTATCCGCGGCAAGGTTCTTCTGGACCAGTGCCTCGGGAAATGGATTCCTGTCGCACGCGCTGTCTGGCTCGCCAAATGTGTCGGCGCCAATGAGATTCGTGCGTTCAAGCGCAAAGGCACAAGCGGTGCGCTGGCTGTCGGCTTGGAGGCGAAATGGGTTCGGGAATGGACGGCAAATGTTCAGCAATTTGTCGAGGGTGTATTCAGCGCGCCAAAATCCTCGGACTGGAAGGCCAAGATGACTTATGCGTATGTGTTAATGGTTTCCCTCTTGTGAACAGCATGCTTACTCTTACCGCAGCGTCGGGTTGACTGCTCGTCTGTTCTTCGAAAACCTGCTCGACCATGATCACTTTCTTGAGTGGTTTCTGACATCCTTTGAGGCTGCCTCGCTCGGTACAATCCCCGTCTGGCTGTTGATGCTTGGTGTATATTGGAATAGTATAATGCGATATCGACGAAGAGGGCGACGACTGGCCGAGCTGCTTCTCGAAAAGTTGCGTCAGGTGAGTTATTTTTGAGAAAACCGATATGTGTCTGCCGTCAATACTGATGGTTATCATAGGCAAATGAAGCAAAACTAGCTTCTCTTCAACCTCTCATCGATCGACTTGCTCGCTTCATCAAACGTCTCGTTTGTGACCATACGTCCTCAATGATCCTCCCGAACACTTGGGAGACGTATAAACAACAAGTGTCATCGGTACTCGACCTAGAAAATGCATGTGAAAAGGCCCTATTCCAAAACCTCGCCGAACGCAATGCGCGAGTGCAGCGGCCAAACCACTCCAAACAAACCAACAACCGCTCACCACATCAACGCATCATTCGACTCCTCGATTCCATCCGCTCCGCACACGACATCTCCTCCATGTCCTCCTACTTCGACACCTTTGAAGACAAGGCTGAGTTGGTCTCCAAGCTGCTGGAATGGCTGTCCACGCCCTTCCGCCATGGCCTCTGCCGGGTCTACATCGGTGCTCGCCTTCTTCGGAAATGGAAATCAGCTGGCGTGGACATAGACAGCCACATACTCGCTTTTCTCTCACGTGGACGGAATAATCAGAGGTTGGTCATGGACCAGATCTATCATGTTATCTCTGAGCTTGTCAGGTCACAGACATTCTCAGTTGGTCGCTATCTTCAGTGGCTTATGGCGAGAGGTGTTACCAATAGCCCTTCAATCACAGATCATAATGTGAGTGTTGTATCTTGGAGGAACGAAGCCTCTAATTACTGACAAACTGCAGATAAAGGACTTACCAATCGACATCGGACTGATCGCGCAACTTCCCGTTGGTCGTCTTCCAGAACATGTTGCGAATTTGCGCAACACTCTGCAAACCAGGACTGGGCTATCTGTTTCTGAAGAATATGCCGTAATTGACAATGTGAAAGAGATCATCAGCCAACGTCTGCCGGGAATCTTTGGTGACAATGCACACACGACAATGGCAGTAGATTCATTACCATCGAGCCTAACATGGGCCGTCAAGGCGGAAATTGGTCAGTGGCTACGCCGTGCCATTGCCCAACACAATCGAAATGCGGCAGAGTGAGTACATTCTTTCTACCTAGTTTTTCCTCCACTAATATCTGGATAGATCGACTACTGGGGCATTCCCTGCTGGTGCTGTTCCCGTGGTATCTGCGCTAACTCCCACCGAGATCTATACTGTCCGTGACATTCTGGAATCATTTGGGGACATCTCAATGCTAGCTGATGTATTGAACTTCGCATCAAGCTGCACCGACAGCACTGTCCTTGCATCAGTAGCAGATACCACAAACTGCCATTTCGACTCTCTCTGCGTGATCGGCGCTACAACCGATCTCTTCCGGCGACTTATTGATGCATACGCAGGCATCAAGAGGTTCGGCGTGCCAGGCCTTGATTTGGTTTTCTCTCTTATCGAACTTGGCTTGCGTATTCC